ATATATATATATATATATATATATATATATATATATATATATATATATATATATATATATATATATATATATATATATATATATATATATATTAAAAAGTACATTATTTCAAATTATACACATAAACCTATCAACTTATACATATAACAAATCTCTCTCTTATCATAATACTCTTTAATAAAATTTATCATGTGATATTCTTATTTTAGACAGTATGTATCTATCATGTGGACTATCAGGGATCCATAAAAGAGAGCTCTATATTGGGTAATACGGGGTATAGGACGATTGAAATTTGACCATTATCGATAAAGAGCAAGGATTTGTTGAATTTAAATGAATCATTTGACCGTTTGAACTCGATCTAAGAGTTTTTAACTTTTTTCTACCCCCTCGTTTACTTCTTTTTTAGTCTCTTAATTTCTTTCTCACTCTTATCTTTCTCACATCTACAATCTCTTAAACTCAATAAAACTATGATTTATTGATTGTATTAAGTTTGAGAGACTAATTTGGGAGGATTAATACTCAAGTTATAGGAAGAATACTATAATCAAATATATGAATTTTTTTCTAGATTTTATTGATTTATAAGATGATTAAGCTTATTTTATGTTCTCAATCTAATATATTGTTTGATATATTTATGATAATTTAATAAGGTCAATTAGAGAGTCATTAAGGCTTTTAATGTTGTGATAGAGTGTATATTATTGATTTAATCAAAATTAGATATATATATATATATATATTGGGTGAAATATTTGTATTTGATGATTTACAAGTTTGTGATGAGAGGTTTAATTAGATATTAATGCTGTGATAAATAATTATAATAATAATTTAATCAAAATTCTACTTATGTCAGATCAATTCACTCTCTTTAATAGTGTTTCACATGTAAAAAGGACTAATTAAAAAGTAATTAACTATATTACTACTGTGACAAGTGTATTTAATGATGATTTTATCATAATTTGATATTAAATTTATGTATTTAATGCCTCTTAGGATATTTAATATATTCATAATGGTAAAATAAAGTTAATTAAAATTTTATTTAATTTTTATATTATAATTAGTATATTTAATGATAAATCATTATTTAACCTCATATTTAATAATTATTAGTGTATTTGAAATATTTAATAATCATTAGTTAATTCAATGTATTTAATAATTATTAGGGTGCTTTAAATATTTATAGTAATAAAAGAGGGCTAATTAGAAAGTAATTAGTATTTTTAATGTTATAATTAGTGTATTTAATGATCAATTGATTATAATTTGTAGTGGTAAAGTATGATTTATTATATATAATCTTAGAATCATACCTAAAAGTTAGACAAGAACCATTATTATTGATAGCTCATTCATTGTGATTGTATCAACTACGGTAAGGAATCACTAGAAGATGCGTTTGGCTAGAAGTCATCTTGATGTTGCAAAATACAAAAAGGTTTCGACGAATATCTATAAATTATTTCAAGATAAGAATGATACAATTAAAAAGAATGTCAAGAAACAAGAAGAATGCTATACGGTTATACAAGAATCAATTTATGATTATATATGTAAGGATTCAATAAGGTATTAATGACTTGAGTCATAGTAGGAGCATGGTAGTGGCGGTGAGTTTGCCACATAAGATCCAAAGGTTGACCAACATGAGACAACCAAATGTCTTTTCCTAATTGAGTAGGATTGGTAGTATGAGAAAGGGTGAAATATATGATTTTATTAGAGGACTTAAGTAAGAGGCTAACATCACATATTGTTAAAATTAATTCGCAAGCCTATCATCCACAAATAGCAAAATAAATAGACAATATCTAAGTGATTCCCACCATCTTTTAAAAGGATTTGATCAAATCTTTTAATACTGCTAACTATTCATCTAGTTAAACGTTGTAAATCTTTTTGGATATTAGAGGTTAGATCCTCATGCCAACTTTTTGGATGGGTTTGAAGGCTTGGGGGGATGCTCTTATGGGAAGGCGAAGTGAGAAGAAAGGAGAGAAGAATGAGTATCTAAGTTATCAATATAAGCTTTTTCTCTAACAATTTATTATGTAAAAAGGATCTCATATTGCCTGAGGTAACCATTATATATTTCTCTTGATTCCTAATACACAAAAAGAATATGATAATATCATCAATTTATGGTATTAATTTAATTATATTTTATCCTATAAATAAGGTTACGATATACAAAACAAAAAAAATCAATAAAATAAAATTTCTTCTCTTTTCATTCTAACATAGTATCAAAGCCCTTCAATTAACATCCCCCTCCCTTAGTCATAAACGATAATGACAATGATTTCCTCACTATAACTTTTCCTTATCGACTGGCTCATCTCCAACGATAGGTGACTCACCTCTAAGATCTCATCGTCAGCCATTTATGTCCCTTCTTCCAGCGATTCATGGTGACTCTTCTCTGACGATGACTCTCCTCTAGGACAAATTTACCTCTAGCACTATCACTTATTTACAGCGACCACCTCTTTGTTCATCGTTGCTGACAACAAGCAAGTTGTTTCTTCCTTCCCCGCTTCATTGATTTCATTGCAGTCACCAATTTGTTAGTCGTCGCCAACGACAAGCAAGTTGTAGGTTGTTCCCTAATTCGCTGATTTTATCATAGCCACATCATCCACCATATTGACTCAGCTTGCAACGCCGCGAGAAGGATGACGGATTGCTATCACTCTCAAATATGCTTCCTTCTCCACGCATCACTACTTGAGATCAAATCAAGCCCCTCTTTCATATCTTTTTGCCCGATCAAGTGGATCCCCTCAATCAGGTATGGCAAACGCTCGTACGACGTCTCCTCAAGGAAAGGAAAGGATCATGCACGACAATGATCCATCTTTGATGAGATTATCATCATCTTTCTGGAGTCCCAGAACCCCTCCAAGGAGTTTTTCACCCTCTGCCTCGACCGTCGCTGTATGTAATTTGAACGAAGAGCTGAAAAAGTTAATTTGCAGATATTGTCGTAAGATTGGACACACAATTCAAGAATATCATAAACTTGCTAGAAAGACCACTACAACTGCAACTACCGAAATTCTATCTTGTGCATCACTTGATTCTACCTCTAATGTTACTGACTTCTTGATTTTGCTTATTAAAATAATATGAAATCAGATTCCTCGAAATTCTGATTTAGAAATTCTGCATTTATTATTCCTAAGATTCACACTTTTAATGGATGAATACTTCACGCTCAATTGCTACGTCTAACCTGATAGTTTCTGATATATATATATATATATATATATATATATATATATATATATATATATGTTATTCAACTTTCATTAAATCTATTCTTCAAGTGTTCCATCATATTTCTCTCTCCT